TGTTTGTTTGTTTGTTTGTTTTTTATATTTCTGTGTGGACATACTGCAAATCAATTTCCCGTTAGGGACAATAAAGTTACTATTGACCACTGACATTGACCATTGACAGTTAGGTGCTCCTACCGAGTTAAGTTGGTGGATATCAGTGATTTTATCAGTGAAAAAAGATATAAGAGAGTTGCAAAAGTCAGCAAAGTCCATATGAGAGGAGAGTGAGTCTGGAGGTTTTGTAATTTTACTAAACAATGAAAAGAGACCTGGAGTTACCTTCACTAGAACTGATTAAACCAGAATAGTATGCAGATTTGGCTGAAGCAATGCAATCCTTATACAACAAGATATGATTGTTATACATTTCTTGTATCGTAAGTCCGGTTTTCTTGAACAGACGTTCCAGTTGCCGTCCTTTAGCTTTGAGATGGCGCAGGTTAAGAGTAAACCTTGGTGCTGAACGGGAAAATGAGACAGTTCGTGTTTAAGTGGAGCAAATGTGTTAAGAAGGTTATGGAGGTTGACATTATAGTGAGAAACAAGTTCATCTGGGGATGAGGAGCTGTGAATAAATGGGAGGTCATAAATGGCAGATGAAAGATCAGCAGGGTTAATATTACTAATTAAAGTGAAATAAAAATTCAACAATCTGATCAACTTTATATGTTATATCTACTTATGTCTGCTCATAGATCAGGTCTTCCCTGCCCATGAAACTGCTTATTAGTCAATGGTCTAATCATTTTTGAGCACTTGAACACAGCTCGAAAATCTGTCATTTCTAATCTGTAACCTGTAATTCTTAAGCTTTTAATGCAAAGTTTTGGAATTAATGCTAAAAATCTGCACTTCAGTCACACTGCAATTGTTTGACTTGAAGCATTTGATGGTGTGCAGAGGCAGAACTACAAGAACTGTGTCTTTGTCCAGCATGTATATTTTTCATAATGGTCTGACCATATGTAATGTTTCTGTTTACTCACCTGTGCTGTGAAAGTATTAGTGCTGCTAACTGAGACTCTATAATGTTTGGTAATTACTGTCTTTCCTTGTTAGGCTGTCCAACAGTTTGGGACAACCTTCAGTGCTGGTATCATGCTGAGGTGGGACAGGTGGTCAATATCTCGTGCGCCTCTGG